GCTCTCCATCGTAGTTCTTCAGGCAAATGATGCCTAGAGGTCATTATTACGAATTGGCTATCTCAGATTTTCAATGTCGCAATCACAGTAAAATTTGTGTGCTTTCTCTCAAACTTGGACTTTTATGCTCCAGGCAGATGACGTAAGCCGAGTGCAGCGCCACTAATTTGCATATTGCAATTTTACTCAGCTACTCTTAGTGGACAACATATGCAAATTTTGCACGGTTTGGCTTACTTTTGAAAGAGTTATCGCTATTTTTGTGATTTTTCCTTAATTTATGATAACCAGTGTATATTTGCTGTCCGGAGCAAGTTTGCATCTCTGAAGTTGTAACAAAAGTAAATCAAATTCTTAAAGTATTAAAACTGCTCTAGTTTGTTTAAATAAAAAAAAATTCATTGTAAATGTCTATTATTATAAAGACATAGTCTTTGTCTACAGCATTGAATGTCTTATTTCTGTTTAGTTGTATCGAATAGTGTTGGATTTAGAAATCTCAGTAGGCATGTAAATAATGACAAAGTTTTTAACTAAACGCAAAATAAGCCATACTTTTATTAAGTAAGAAAATAAAGCTAAAACTTAATGCTAACAAAATTTACGATTTTAAATTTCTGTTACCTGTCTTCACAGAAGTTTTGAGTGTTCAAATGAGTTTCGCCGCACATGGTGTTATTTTAAAGATAGGATGATTTTTGACACCAAACAATTGCTTTCTGGATTTAAAAAAAAATTAAATACTGTATAAAAGAAGTTTTCGAAATGTTATAGCTGTAATTTGAATTATAAAAAAATTCGAAACTATTTGTTTCTCCATAAATTAACAATGCTTTCAATTACATATTTATGAAATTAACTATCGGAAACATACTAAAAAGCCAAATTTATATTCATGTATTTGTAGTCGGCAACGTTAGAGAAATTTTAATGTTTTCATAATTTCTAGAACAAAATTAAAATACTATAATCTGCTCCAATATAGAATATAAACTTTCGAAATTAACTTTAAGTGTAATTTGAATTTATGAAAAATCTAAGCTATTTGTTTCTTTAAATTAACAGTGCTTCTAATTATTTATGAAATTAATAATCAGAGGCATAATATAGGAAGCAAAATTTATATTGATCGGAGAAAGTTATTCTTTTTGGTGAACTTGCTTAAAGAAAAACTTAGTTTTTACCTTCGATTAAAGTTCTATGATTCTAATGCATTTGCAGTTTGCAGCGGTAGAGAAACTTTCATAATTTTTAGGTGAAAACCCAGATTGTTGATAGTCAACCAGTCTTATCACAATTTGTTTGCGTTTCAATGTATAATGAAATTAAATAAGCAAATTTTAAAAAAAAGAAAGCATTTTTGTTATTTTAAAATGCACTGTCAGAATTTAAGACTTATATAGCGCCATCTACGGTAAGAGTTTTATATTTTGAGTGGCATCAGAGTGAGATAAATAGAATATACATGAGCGGTAGAAATAACTTGTCTGAACAAAAATGTTAATAGTTAGATGTTTTGTATATGTAGATAGATCTTCATTAAATCGTCTTGTTGTATCCGACATTTATGGCGCCCCCGGGTGGGCGGCCTGATTGAAACAAGACGAACAAGAAATGAAGAAAGGTAGGCGAAGATAATATTAATTTCCATTTTGAAGATTAAATATTTGACAATTTGAATACTTTTGAAGATTTGAAACAGATATATATTTTTATTTGATACCGTAACGGTAATTTATATGTGTTTAGAATCGATAGTTTTTAGAAGCTAAGAATTTAATATTAAGATAGTAAAAACGGAAATAATAAAAAGAAATCGAACCGCTCAAAGAGCTTCATTTACTAAGGCCTACAATAAACTAGAAAATTTATTGACTGGCGATAGCGTGAAGTATGACGAAATCGAAACGGATCTTTGTTAATTTAAACAAATGGTAGAGATTTTGGAAATAACTCATAATAGTTATTTAGATAGTTTGCAGGATGAAAAAGAATTTGAAACTGAATATAATTCCGTTGAAGAATACAGAGAAAAAGCTTTGAGAATTCAATTAAAAGCTAAACGTTCCTTAGATAATTTGAAAAAGAACTCGTGTGAAAATGAAATAGTTACGTCCGAAAATAACCGCGAATTACCGAACAATAAATCTCCGAAAGCTTTATGTCAACGGCTCCCCGAAGTTGAATTATATAAATTCGGCGGAGACTTGAAAGATTGGTTAACGTTTTGGAACCAATTTAGAAATATTCATGAAAATGTTAATTTAACGAAAGCTGATAAATTTCACTATTTAATTCAGTCGACAAAACTGAAATCGGAAGCTAGGAAAATTGTGGAATCTTTTCCTGTAATAGATGAAAATTATCCTTTAGCTGTTGAAAGTTTAACTGAAAAGTATGGCCGAAAGATTTTTATATTAGATAGATTGATAGATTTTTATGTTAGAGAACTCTTGAAACTCGTATTAAATAATGCGAATAAAAATAAGAATGATTCTTTAAGTTGTTTATGCAATAAACTGTCAACTCAATTGAGAGCATTAAACTCACTAGGAGTTACATCTGAGATGTGTGGTGTAATTTTGTATCCCCTTGTTAAAAACTCATTACCATTAAATGTGTTACGCTCATTTGAACGCCAAAGAAAAAATTTAGAAAGCGAACGGAAACTATCCAGTCTTGATGCGATAATTTATTTTTTGAAAAACGAAGTACAAGCGGAAGAAAAAAATAAAATTGAGTAGAACTGAAATATTTCATCGAACGAAGGAACTTGACGCCGCCGGCGAGTCGGAATTTTTAATATACGCTGAACACTGTGAAGAAATTTCTATCGCCTAAAACAAAAATCTTTTGGGGATTTTATTTAGAAGTTCATAAACTATATTTTAAACTATTATCTTATAAGAAGGTGCATAAAAGTGCTATGCAAGTGCATAAGTGAATTAAAGATCAATGTAGTTTTAAAAAAATGCGAATTTTTAAAAATTTCAACTCTTGCCTTAGCAAAAACCATGCATAAAAAATTATATTCTTATTTTTTCTTTTAGTTCAAAACATGTGTGCTATAATCATAAACACTCATTAAAAATAGTAGACAATTATTTTAAAACATGAGGCATCGTGTTTAACGTGATGGAGCATGCGAAAAAATCTGCTTTTGAGATAACACATTTAAAGACTTCAAATAACTATTCTATCCACTCTTATCCCCTTGTACAAAACTGCTATAACTCTGTAAATAAGTGCACAAGCAATAGGAAAATATTTTTAGGAAGCTGCTAGGAGTGCAGGGATTCTAAATTTAAAATATTTTCACAAAAATTTTGCCTAAAATGTTTTTGCACTAGTCTCGCCTTAAATCCCTGCTGATCAATGGCGAGCAAATATTTTAAAAGCTTAAATCAAATTATTCACAGTAAAAAAAAATTATCATACCAATTCGTTGAAAACTTAAAGAACAATATAAATTATTTTAAAATTGAAAATCTCAATTTTCTTGAACCAAAACATTTTAAGGGTAAGCAGTCAGGGGTCTGTTTAGAAGAAATTTGGGTCCGTTAACGGACCCTTCATAAAATATCTTNTAAACAACACATGCGTTTGCAGATAATAATTTTGTAGAAATTACAAATAAGTACTAATAACAAATTTAAAAGCATCAAACTTATTAAATTTGGTAAATAGAGTGCACGAAAACAAAATGTAACACCCTAAATCACTTTTGATCCAGTAATCCTATTTTCACGCACTTGGTTTAAAAAGGTGACTCAAAATAGGCTAATAACTTAATGCAGATGATATTTTAAGTTACGGAAACATGCTTTCTCAGAATTAATATACCTCTCTTTTTTATTAATTTTTATTCCTGATCCTCAAAATGTGAGGAGTAGCTGCACTTTCAGAAAAATGGCCTCAATAGTTTAGTCAGGAGAAAGAATTATTTAAGAATTATTTTAATTTATTAAGAATTTGGACCCCTTAATATAAATTTCACTTTTTGCATAATTCCAATTTTTTTCCTTCCTGGACCCTGGTTGAACGAATGTGACTTAACGTTTATTTTATATTCACAAATTACGAGTAATTCTTTCACAATTTTACCAAAAACGGACCTTTCACGAAATGTCTGGACAGACCCCTGGCAGTGTTACATTCAGTATAAAATTGGTTTACTCTTTATCAATAACTTGTTAAATTAACAACTGCTTTAAAAATACGTAATTTATGCACAGTTAAATTCTGTACTGGTTTTTCGTTACAAAACAAAAGAAATCTTAAAGTATGCCCCATATATTTTTAAAAAAAATTTGGAAAAATCAACTCCCACTTTGGGCACATATGGCTCGGATTTATGAACACTTCCCAATGAAGCCACCATGGTTCGAAACTTAACGACGGCTGGTCATTCCGTAAACTGCTTCCTTGACTTGCAGTGTAGGAACATTTCTAGATAGGTAATGGGGTGGACCTTTTCCGTCGAGAGGTTTTACGGGGAAATTTTACTCCCATTGCAATTTTGGTTAGGTTTTCCTCAATGTTTCCCCATTGTTTAATAGTTGTTCACCGACTGTTACAAACTCCAACCTGGAACCTTTTTAACATCATTTTCACTAGTCTGCTCCGACTGATTTGGAAGTAAATAAACTTTTGTTAGTTTAGTAAAGTATAATTTCTAAACTGACAGTTTAAGCGACATCTATTTTGCGCGTGTACGAAATTATATTTCTAAAAATAGTCAATGAAGATAATTACGCTTTCATTTAAATTTCTGAAAAATATGACTCATTTTCAAATGGAAAAGAAACCAAATTATAAATTTCTCCCAATACTTGATCCAGAAGTCCCCTTGTCTTCTGGATTGGGTTCAAAATTACAAGGCAACGGAGTATAACCCTAAATTGGGTCTGCTGTTCAACGGCGGTCATAATATTGCTTTGTTTCCTAGCAAATATTTTTAATCTGAGACAAATTACTTCTAAACAGAATAGGTAAGTGTAATTAATTAGCATGAAACAAAGTTGAGTGTCTTTTTTTCAAGGTCTGATTCAAAATTAAGAGACTTCTGTGTTCAACATAAGCTACAGATCAAATATTGAACAAATATTGATAAGATCACAGCGCAAAGGTCTTCATAAGATCATAATTAAATATTTTTTTTGACATTTACAAGTTCTACCCATGATATAGTTCATATTTTCATTCTCTAATGCGTGTCAAAATTGAGATCATATGAAGTCAAACTTGATAGTGTTCATCGAATGAAAATGGCTAATATTTCAAGGTTGCAGGTTAAACAGATTATTCTACACAGGAATTGATGAAATGTTGCTAAAATTTTTATGTAAAGTATACTCTCGATATCTTTAACTTCGATCTCTCGAAAACACTATGTCAAAAAAATCTTTTTTTCCCTTAGCATTATATATCTACGTAATGTTAATTTAAATTCCTATATCGACCAGTTTCTCCTCAATCTCATGTCGAATTTTATAGAAATAGAATTTAATTTATTTCAGAAAAATCACAATGTAAAATTATTATACACTAATTCTTTTGTTTTAAAAATAAAATTATCATTGTTGTATTTAGACTTACAATAATATATCGCTATATACATATTTAATAGTAGTTATTCTTATATTTCTTGACTTTTTAGAGCAATATTTCAGAATTTTTTTTCTACCTTTTAGAACATATTTAGTTCTTAACTTATCTCGAAAACTCGCTATCTCAAATTTATTTTTAACGTCCCTTCGAGTTTGAGATATCGAGTGTATAATATTAGACCAGCATTGTTAATTTTGGATTTCTAATCATGATTACCAAAATATTAAATTGCATTTTTAGGTTTTCGAGTGTCGAATCGTATGTCCAGCGATGTTTGCGAGTGTTAAATCGTATTGTAATGGAATCATCCTCAAAGAATCATCATCAGGGAAGCATCTTGTTCATCAATGTGTTCGAAAGATGAATCACCATTTGTGTTGAATCTTCAAACGCTTGATGAAGGAAATTACTTAACTTCGGAAAGACTTCTAATTACAGGTTAGATGAATTTATTTAATCTTACAGTAAATTTCTAAAAATTTACGCATATTTGTAAATAGTTATTTAAAAATTCCAAGAGCTAAAACTTTAAACTCTCTTTAAACGTAACAAGAATTTCTGTTCATACAAGAACTGTTCAACCTTAAAGTGCTCGACTTGGGTCTTCGGACTATCAAAGTGTCATCCCCTATGCAGAGGATCATCATCAAGATCCAGAAAGTCGCCAATAGCCTATTGGGCAGCTCTAGTGTGACGTTAAGGAACGGTCATTAGACTCAGTAGTGGCACTTATTTAAAATAATGGTTGAGATAAATGCGCAATTAATAAAATTGCAAAAAATTTTAAATAATGGGATGATGGCGGCTCGGTGTTAACAATTTGCGCGAGACATGACGACTACGGAAATATCGTAATCGTGCAGCCAAATTAGAATAGAGTACTGATATTTTAAATATTAAAATTTATAATCAAAGAGTAATTGTGTCTCAGGGTTAAGAGCGCTCGCTTTCCAATAAAGTAACCCTAGTTCGAATCCCAGCGATGGCTGGTCTATATGAATTCCGCATCTGGCTAGCGCCGACCACAGTGTTGCCATAAAATGGCCTCTAGTATAATAGAAGTATTATGGATAAGTCTCCTTGTCACCTGGATAACCGTGGGAGGTTTACGTGGCTTTGCTCTCCATGTAACGCAAATGCAAGTTAGTTTCATCAAAAAATCCTCCAAGAAGGCAAACTTCTCCCAAAACTAGATCCTGGAGTATTCAAGTGTTCTGGATTGGGTTCAAAATTACAAGGCTACGTAGTTGCACATTAATAGTAGTAAACCCAAAATTGGGTCAGCTATTAAACGACGGTTATAAAATTAAAATAAAATATGAAATTTTTAAAATAGTTTATTATTGCAGTCGATATTGCAGTATTACTGACTTAAGTAGTTTAGAATTTTCTTAGGACTAAGTATTTTCTCCCAAATCTTGATCCTGGAGTATTCTACTGCTTTGGATGGGGTTCAAAATTAAGAGACTACGGAGGTGAACTTTGGTAGTCGTAAACTCAATCTGGTAAATTGTTTAACAACAGTTTTGAAATAAAAATCTATTTTAAAATTATGTTTTTAACTAATTTTTAAATCATACCTTGAACACGAATACTCTATACTTGAGGAAATATTTTATGCGGAGATGACAAAACATTGCTTTTTCATGAATCTTTTCAGAGATGTTTAAAATAATTGATAATCTTTGCTAGATTATAACGGTTTTAAAAACAGATTTATACCAACAACCGTTTTCAAACATAATTAGTTGTCGGAGATAAAAAAAATAGTTTTGGTTATTAACAATTTACTTGGAGGAATTGTTAAAAGAAATGTTCTTGCAATAGAATTTTTCGCAAAATTAACAAAAGAGTATCTGGTATAGATGCCGAATTAGCTTCTTGGCAAAAGTATAGGCCTTATTTTTATAGAATCTATATGTAGTATCAGCGGTTCGTGAGTATGGACTTATTGAATAAATACCAA